ATTATTTCGTTTTTTAAAAGTTTCTTTCAGTTTCTTAATAAAAACGGTTAAATGCTCTAACACCCCCTTCATATTTGTTTTTATTACTTACTGATTAAATTAGTGAAAAAAACAAAAAACCCTAAACTTTCCTTTAAGTTTAGTTAACTTTGCCCTGATACCCCCATTTTGTTAAGGACAATATTTGCCTACTCACCTGTGAGTAGGAAGTATATGCTTACCTTCATGTGGTGCAAAATTAGTGGAGCACGTGCCTTACAATATAAAATAATAAAAATTAAAAGATTTGAGAGGTTATTCGGATTAAACCCAATATGATCCAAATCTAACTCTCTTCCTTTCTCTAGCGTTACTTTTTTTGTCCAGTGAGTGAATGAGAAGGGGATCTTGTAAAAAAAAAAAAAACATTTTAAGCTATAATTCTTAAATAAAATAATATTACAAGATACAAACAAAGTTCTGGATAATGAATAGAAAGAATAACTATAAATGTAATGATACATAGATATTTGTTTTCCGCTAAAAGAAAAAAAAAATCATAAATAAGTAATAACAATCTATCCTGCAATTAACAAATTATCTATCAAACCATGTGAACCAGATTTTATATAATTTGGTATACTTTAGATTAAAATAATTGATAAGTATATATAAGGATTACACATTAAATCATGAAAGATAAAAGTCAAAATTTTCACTATTAGCAGATTAGGGTTTCAGCGGAATAGTTTGAGAAAGAGAAAAAGAAGGAGAGTTAAATTAGGATTTGATTTGCATCCATTTGGATTGACCCAATAAGCGTTCAAATTTATTAATTTTTATTATTTTATATTTTAGGGACACTTATCACATTATTTTACGCCACATTAGGGATAAACATATACTTCCTACTCACCAGTGAGTAAGCAAATATTGTCCTTTTGTTAATTGGATTTTTAAAAAAGTCAAAAAGTCTACTAATTAAAAAAATATATAATGTCAAAACTACCCTTTACTAGTGAAGATGAGATATACTAGTCCGTTTGGGATTGCTTCTCCACTGCTTAAATGCAATGTTACCGATTTTTCCTATTTTCTAATTTCTATAATTTATTTGATTTTTCTGGATTAGTTTAATTTTTACCTCATTTTGCGTGCCACACGGGCCCCGAGGGGCGTTTTGGTCATTTTCTTGAGCCGAGGGTTTTAAAAGTATATTTTTAATCATTTTAAGTCAATTAGAAGTGATGATTTATTTTTAGAATTTTTCAGAAGTCTGGACGATTTTCGGACTAGAGAACTTCTCCCGGTTTTCTCATCTTAAATGAGGGGTGTCATCGACATTTCACACGTGTGTGTGTGTGTGTGTGTGTGTTTATAGACATGTATGTATGTTGTATTAATGTTCTTAAATGGAGGGTGATATTTTGTGGCATGATTGAAGTTATAAAGAAGTTTAAGGGGCATTTTTGTTATTTTAGACTCATGGACCAGCCTAGAAAATTCTAAACACCAAAAGGGTGGCCTCATTTTTACCCATTCTTTTCTTTTCCTTCAATTTTCGGACCACATCCCCTCTCCCTGTACATTTTCTTTCTCTCTCTATATTACTCTTTCACTTCTCTCTAAAAGTTCTTCATGCTAGAAAATGATTTGATTAAGCCGGAGTTAGTAAATTATAGATCGTTGCAAGGGTTACGTTTTAGTACTAGTATTGCAAGCTTTTGGTGGGATTTGAGTTTGGGGCTTGGAGCTAGAGCTTGCTAAGGCCTTGTTTGGTTTGATATCTTGAGGCAAGGGAAGTCTAAATTACGAATTTCTTATGATTTTATTGAGTTTTATGATTTTTTTTACATGAATATCTTGATATTGTGAAGCATGCTTAGTTGTAAATTTTTGGTTGTGATGTTAAGCATGAGATAGTCTTGATCTAATTACTTGAGATGAGAATACGATGGTTTTCTTGTATTTGTGCCAAGCATGCTATTTTTTTATAAGAAAATGTGAAAGTATGATTTATGTGATCAATTTTTTTGTGTTTGAATGTTTTAATATAATTATGATGAAAACCATGACTTGTATATTGATGAATAGTTGTATGACATGCATATTCTTGGCATAGGGGTGAGTTGAGAGGATAAAAGTTGATGTGAGAAAAAAGGTTAGAAAATGAGATGGTAGTTTGTGTGGTAAGCCAAGGTGATGGTTAGGAATGTTTTAATGAGGTTGGGTTGGAAAGAAGGGGACATTTGCATTTCATGTTTAATTGGTATGGTTTGTGAATTTGTGAAATTCATGTATGGTTGATATGCCTCATAATCCCATGATCCCTTTTTCTTTGATTCCCTTTCTTTGGTCACGGCTCAAGGGATTTTTAGGGATGTACTTTAGGCTTTCTCTACTGAGCTCACCCTATCATTATTAACATTTTTTAGGGATTGAAGATGAGCCGGTGAATGATATGCATCCATGGATATCGATGTAGTTAAGACTTCATTTTATTTATACTAAAGCTATGTAATTTTGGCCATGAAGGCCTCATTCTTGTATTTAATTCTTTTGAAATTGTATATAAATGAGATTTGTGTAATTCGGTCTTTAAATGATGTATTGGGCTTGTATCCGGTTTATTTGAATGTACGAGAGTTTAATTATGTTTTATATATTCTCAAATGAAAGATTTGAGAATGGGATTAGACTTTAAATAAGGTCATCAAGGGACTAAGGGAGTACCCATGTACACAAGTGCTTAAATTTAGGCTTTTCTGGGCAAATTTCAATGTTATAGACTTTTGGTACCTGTTCAGCTTTTAGGGAACAGGTTCAAAGGGTATTTTGATTCATGTTTGGGCATTCTGCCCATTTGGAACCTATTCCAAATATGGGGATCAGGTTCAAGTCCTCCCGTAGGCTTTTTGCCCTTCACAATTTTATCAGTTTTGTTCACTTAACTTCATTTAACTAGTTTGAAGGCAGATTACCCTCTCATATTGTAAAATGAACATTTTACCTCAGTGTGTCCTCGGGTTCGGGTAAGGACCCAGTTAATAATTCGGACCCACGGATTCGGGTCGTTACATTAAAATCACTTTTATTTTTGAAAAATTGCGTTTAAATATGTTTGGTAACCATTATAAGTGTTTTTAATGGTTACTAAATTTAGTTTAGTAGAGCGTTTGAATCAAGGTAGAATTTGGTGTTTTAAAATTGGAGTAGAGGTTGAATATAACTTTTTTCATTAGACAATTTTGTCATTTTAATTTTTTATAAAGACAATTACACCCCTTTCTTAATAAAATTTTTATTATTAAATATGATAACATCATATTAAAGGATATTATTGTAAAATTAGCAATATAATTGTTTAAAAAATAATTATTACCAAATAAATTAAAAAATAATTTAATTGTGAAAAGTACTTATTATATTGTGTCACCAAACACCTAATATGCTTAGTGACTGCAATTTTTTGACAACACTACTGATAAAAAGTGTTTTTTTTTTAATTCCAACTGCAACCCGAAACGTAAAACTATATATGTTCATAGAGGAATGCTAAGGACTGTCATTTCACAGTCGCTCATCTCATTGGTTACCTTAAAACTCATTTATTACTCTTTCTCTATTCTCAAGGAACGCTAAATATTTAACCTACTTTAAAACAAAACTTACCTCTAAAAGACAAAACTATCTTTTAAATCTTTTTTCATTACTTTTCTTCTATCTCCTCTCTCAATCCATATACGTGTAGTATATATATATTTTTTACTGCCCTTTTTTTCTTTCCTTTTTATTTCAATTATTGCCATTAGCCTTTTTTCTGTCCTTCCTTTCATTATTTATTTATTTATTTATTTTTTTAACTAGAACAAATAAGAACAGGGGAATGTTCACCAAATTTAGAAAAAAATTTAAGAACAGGGCGACAATTGAAATAAATTTTTTATAATGAATATATTCTTTTTTATAAGTCCATCATATTTTTTTAGTATACCCTCAATTCATTTTTTTCTAAATTGTTTCGGTTTAATAACAAACTTGGTGAACATTCCCATGTTCTTATTTGTTATGGGTTAAAATTTAATAACAATTTGGTTTAATAAGTTTTTTTTCTAAATTTGGTGAACATTTCCCTGTTCTTATTTGTTTTGGTTTAAAAAAAAAAAAAAATTGAAAGAAAGGATGGAAAAAAAAGGCTAATGACAACAATTTAGAAAAAAAAGGGAAAAAAAGAAAAAAAGTGAAGAAAAAAAATAACTAGGGGGGACAATTGAAATAAAAAGGAAAGAAATAAAGGCAGTAATATATATATATATATATATATATGGATTGAGGGAGGAGATATAAGAAAGGTAATGAAAAATGATTTAAAGGGTAGTTTTGTCTTTTAAAGATAAGTTTTGTTTTAAAATAGGTTAAATATTTCACGTTCCTTGAGAATAGAAAAAGAGTAATTAATGAGTTTTAAGGTAGCCAATGAGATGAGCGACTGTGAAAGGTAGCCAATGAGATGAGCGATTGTCCTTAGCATTCCTCACGTTCATAATACTAATCAATCAATTTCATAATAATTTTATTGGATTGATTTAAAGAAGAAATTAAATCAGATTGAGAATACTAGATGTTATTTTTTAAATTTTTTATAAGATGCCCATGTATATTCCAGATTCTTACACATATGGTGCCTGCACTTATTTAATTCATGGCTTATACCTAAATTAAAATAAAATATCTAACTTAATTTAAGTTAATATTTGTGGTCAAATTGAAATGACTTAAATTGGAGTAGAGTAGTCAAAAAATAGCTTTATTTTCCCTTTTTTTTTTATTAGCTCCTCTAAAACGGCAAATTTTATTGTGCTTTTAAATTGCCCGAACATATGCATCGAAGATGGAGGTCCGAGTCTCTCAGGTCTGAACTCCAATGCATTAAACTGGCCCTTAATTGACTCCTCTTTTCTATGCACTCATTGGGTACACCCGTTCTTCAATTTTGGAATTGGAAGCAACCAAGGCGGCTCAATTCATATAAAACTAGTCAACCCCACCCACCAAATCGACACCGTAATCCTCGTGAACATCGTGACCGTTTTCTATTCCACCTTGGGACCCACCGAAATTCCAATCACCGACCGCTCCGTCCATCGTTATTAGTTACAGTGCAATTCCAAAACATAATCAGGATCACCATCCCATCAAATGGCATGATCATATCCCATGTGGTATATCCAGCTACACCATATCATCTCCTACAGACCGATACCAGTATAACACCCAACCTTTCCTAAAAATTCCTCAACATAGTAGTTCCACTGCTTATTTTTCTCTCTCTTGTTTATAGCAACTTCTCACTCCATCAGTCTTTTTGTTCTGTTCAACAATGTCTGAAATGTCGTCCGCTAAAGGAACCACAACTCTCTTCTCTCCTTACAAGATGGGCAAACTCAACCTCTCACACAGGTCAGTATAAAGGGTATTTTCGTCACAAAATTGTTTGTTCGTTCAATGATTTTGGGAGAAAATGATCAAAACCACCGAGTTGTGTTGGGGGTATACTAGACTATTTAGATTTTTAGGATTAACATTAATTTTGGGTGTGAACTGTTTGTGTTTTGACTTGGTGCAGGGTGGTTCTTGCACCTATGACTAGGTGCAGAGCACTGAATGAAATTCCAAACCAAGCCCTCGTTGACTATTACGTCCAGCGATCAACCGCCGGTGGATTTCTCATCACCGAAGGCACTCTCGTCTCTCCCAAAGCCGCCGGGTAATTCCGTAATTTCCCCTACATTTCGAGTGTCATGTGTTTGTAGTGGAACTCTTTTTATTAATAAAGTAAGCACTGATGATGACCATTCATCTCAACCCACGTGTATCTAATAATTTCGTTTGGTGCTCTGCGTGGTCCACTAAAGTTTATGCTTGTCACCTACCGTCTAATCATGATCGCGATCGCCGATCGCGATCGGACGGTATATGTACAATACTGATATAGTGAGAGTGGGACCAGGTTTCCACATTGCCCTGGGATCTACAACAAGGAACAAGTGGAGGCATGGAAGAAGGTGGTGGATGCTGTCCACGCCAAGGGGGCCGTTATCTTCTGTCAACTGTGGCACGTAGGACGAGCTTCTCATCAAGGTGCGTATCTTCTAATTCAGGTCAACATAACTAATGGTTCTGATTACTTGTCTAGAGATTAATTTAATTTTGATCTGGTGAAATTTTTTTGATCGACCAATGAAATTGAATTATTAGTGTATCAACCTGGTGGAGAACCGCCGATATCGTCTACGAGCAAGCCCATATCAAAGAGGTGGAGAATACTGATGCCAGATGGGTCCCACGGGATTTACCCCAACCCTCGACCACTGGCAACCTACGAGATACCACAGTTGGTCGAACAATATCGTCAGGCAGCCTCAAATGCAATTGAAGCAGGTAAGTTTGTTTAATACTATACACACATATATGTATATGTATATAATAATATCACTGTGATGAGTTAAGTTTATGGTATCATTTTGATTCTATTTGTCTGAAGTTTGAACTTCAATCATTCTAATTTACATCAAACTAAGTTGTTTTATGTCATTAAGCTCATGTGGTTTCATGATCATGAGCTGGCTCAACTTCAAGTGTAAATTTGTAATGCTATTTTATTGTATTATAGTTTGATACGAACGACTATAAACAACAAAATATATTATTTAATTCTGAGTTGTTGCTTGGGCTCCCTATGTGAATCTCATCAGAAATGTCTGATCATGTTGTACATACAAACTGATTTTTTCTAGAGTGCTATTAATTTATTATATGCTACATCGGCATGAATTACAACACAGAAAAGTAATTTATGAAGAAATCTACAAGTATGTGTGTGTTCTGTTGTTAAGTGTTAATTAATTTAATACTAAAACTATGTGTAGTTAAATATTACATGATCCAACATTTTAGCGCATGCTTGAATTTTATTAGATTCCATTATTTGAAATTTAATCGTTATCTTGTCTTCGTATACAGACAGCATGAAAAATTAGTTTAAAATCTATCGTTTGGTATATATATTTTTTTCTGGCAAATTAGTAAAAGAAAGCATGGGACTAGAGAGGATGTATTAAAATTTTAGTTTGTAACTTTGTAGAAGATCTTGATTGATGTGGGTATTGTTCCAAATTTTCAGATTTGAACTAGAGGCGATGCATTTATAATTCTCTCTCTCTTGTCTGATTTTGCAGTATATTTTCTTGTATGAAAAAACCAACTATTTCTGTCCCAACCATCGTGCCCTGTTTCACTACTTATGACACTAGGGACGGACCAAATTTGAATGGTGGTTAACGTCGGACTCTTGGATGTAGGGTTGCAATTTGGGCGGTCTAACCCAGTCCAACTCAACCCTAACTCAGAAATTTTAAAATTGGGGTTTAAAATTCACAAATCGGGTTCATATTCGAGTTGGGTTTTGTCAAAGTCCATACATATTCGGGTTGGATTCGGGCTCAACCCGAACCCAACCCAAAACCCAAAATAAAAAAAAAAAAATTTTATTTATTTATTTTTCTCCTTTCTCTCTCCTCTCTCTTCTTTCTCTTTCTCTCTCTACCGCCGTCCTCTCTGCCGCCACCGTCGCCGTCGCCATCCCTCGCCCTCAACTGCTGATCGACCGCCGCCGCCTTCCCTCCACCTCTGCCGCCACCGCCGTCACTTTCAAAAATTAAAACAAAACCCATATATACAAGTTAGCAGTTGCAGAGAGAGAGAGGGGAGCAAGCTTGAGAGTTGAGAGACAACGGCTGAAGCTTGCGAACGGCTAACCCGAACTGGAACAACGAGATGGAAACTGAAAGATATGTTTTGATTTTTTGAACAATCTGAAATGATATGCCGATATGGGTTTTGATATAGGTAATAGGTTTTGAACTTTTGATTCTTGCACACAGATAGATAAACTGAAATATATGGGTTTTGAACTTCTGATTCTTGTTGATTTTGTAGTTCGCAGTTACACAGAGTGAGAGAGAGGGGGCAGTTTCAAAGTTGAGAATGAGAATAGAGATGGAGGCGATTGGGGAGGCTGAAATGATTTGCCCTAAAAATATATATATTTTTAATAATAATATAATTAAATATATATAATATACACATATATAAATTTTCGGAGGGAAAAAAATTATATATTTTAAAAAACTCAAACCGTCAACCCGACCCGACCGACAATATTCGATCCGGGTTATGACCACAATCTATGTTGGGTACAATTCGGGTTGGTCCAACTTAACCCGATTCGGGTTGAGGTTGAGTTGGGGTTGGGCTGGGTTGGGCCAACCCAACTTGCAGCCTTACTTGGGTACGGACGCGGTGGGTAGGGGAAAGGACATATTGTCTGTATATCGCACACGGAGAGTGTTGTTTTGCCTATAGGGTTGGCATATTATTTCTAAAGTCATTTAGAGAATGCAAAGGGATCAATTTTCCCCTATGCTTTATGATAAATTAATGGAAAATAATTTGAGTAGAGAACCCCATAAGACAGGAAATAGCTTTAATTGATGAGCCGACAAGGTCATGTTACAGTAATGTGTTGGAGCTCTATGCATCCCAAAAAGAACCTAAAAGAGGCTTTTTTTTTTTTTTCCTTGTTGGTTAAAATACTCGCATACACCCCCACAATGCCTGCTATGGGACTCGACTGGGGGAGGAGAGGTTATGTACTAGTTAGGCTAATGGCCCACTTTATCAACGAGGCTACAAGAGCCTCTTTGATGGAGTTTAATTGACTAAAGGCATTGGACATTGTACTTTTAATAGATAATATCTCCAAATGTCAAAAAATAATGGAATATGTACTTTATAACAGTTCTCAGTAAATGGCATGCAACCGTGATTCCTCGCTATGAAGAAAATTTTCCTTTTGCTTTAGCCTTTAGTGACATGAAGATACATCGAGTGACAGCATTTCACTTTTTAGTAGTTATATAAAAGGCTTTATATTTGTTAGTCATGATGCCAGGAATTCTTTAACTTCAAATTTTCTCGCATTACCGTGTGCCTAGATTATCCATTCATGCCTATCATGATCACACACCGTGCAGGTTTTGATGGCATTGAAATCCATGGGGCACATGGCTACCTCATTGACCAATTTTTGAAGAATGGGATCAATGACCGAACCGATGAGTATGGTGGATCACTGGCAAACCGGTGCAAATTTATAACACAGGTTGTTCAAGGAGTGGTTGCAGCCATTGGCGCTGATCGAGTTGGTGTAAGAATTTCACCAGCCATTGATCACCTTGATGCAACAGACTCTGACCCGCTGAGCCTTGGCCTGGCAGTGATCGATAGACTTAACAAGCTCCAGCTAGACTTGGGCTCTAGACTCACTTATCTTCATGTAACTCAGCCTAGGTACACGGCTTATGGTCAAACAGAATCAGGAAGACATGGCAGTGAACATGAGGAGGCCCAGTTTATGAGGACTTTGCGGAAGGCTTATCAGGGAACCTTCGTATGTAGTGGCGGATTCACTCGAGAACTAGGAATGGAGGCTGTTGCTCAAGGTGATGCTGATTTGGTGTCATATGGTCGCCTTTTCATCTCAAACCCTGACTTAGTTTTGAGATTCAAGGTCAATGCACCCCTCAACAGGTATATTAGGTCTACTTTCTATACCCAAGATCCTGTTGTAGGGTACACTGACTACCCTTTTCTGAAGGGAAATGGAAACCATGAATTATTGTCACGCCTCTAATTGAAATGTGTCACATTATTGACTATGCATTTGGATATCTTGTATTTGTAGGCTTAAGCCTAGAGCTTAATTGTAATGAACATATTTGCTTGATCAGAAATAAGATAAGTATATTGAATGCGTTTGATGTATATACATGCCATATCTGATCCAAGACACATTTATATTTGCATCAGCTAACAAAATTCAGAAACTGTGTTGAATTAAACATTGTGTTATTAAAATCTAATACTTCTGTGTGCCACATTGTCTGATATTTGAATCACTGCCACTAAGTGAAAACAGGATAACTAGGTTGCATGTTAGGACTAAAAAGTCCAAAATGTTGCTCTGTGCCTTCAGGTTTGAGATTTTCATTGAACATGGCGAAGATGTACCCCTCTATGTGGTCCTGAGGCCTTTTTGGAGTCCCATTAGTCATGATATGTTGGATGAAGTTCTTATTATAAGTCGCTGCAAGTTCTGGAGTTGTAAGCTCACCATTCCCAGCAGAAGGCCAACCGCTCTCGGACACCACCACGCCCACATTACTCACACCCTCTTTCTCCATTGCCCAATAAAAAGCATCCACAATGGCATCAAACATGTTCGAGTAACTCAGCGCCCCATCCTGAACCACTGTTCCGGTTGCAGTGAATTGTGCATAATCCAGGCGTATGTTAGCAGGATCCGATGCATAGGCAAAGTAGGGGTACACATTGATCATGAGTGGTGATCCTTGTGCAGATAAAAATTGCAGAACGGAAATAAGTGCTTCGCGTGCCTCGGCTGAAAATGCACCAGCTGAAGGAGGGTAAGAACTTCCCAACGTTCCCGAAGACAGCACGGTCGACACCTTAATGCCAGCTACACCACGAGCGTTGATGGTGTTCTGAAGATTCTGCATTGCAGCACCAATGGAACCAGCAAACTGGCTGGGGATGGCCTCGTTGCCAACGGTGATATACGAGAATTTAATGTCGCTGAGATATGGCGCCACATTGTTTGTAAACCATGAATCAGCAGCTTCTTGGCTTGACGCTATACTCTGAATATCCTCATTCCTTGTCCCTAGAGAGACAGCAATTTGGCTTCCTCTTAGTGCTTCAAGTGCCTGAGGATTAGGATCAAAGAGTCTCATCTTGGCAATACCATGTTGTTTGTAAAGTTGAACAACATCAGGTGAGGAAGGTAGATCATTCCCATTCATTCCATAGCAAACACCTATATCAACTGCTTCTGTGGAGCCATGCATGGATATTATAATGGAGAGAACAAGGGATAGCCAAAAAGAGGTCATCAAACCCATGTTTTTGGATATATAATCAACAACCTGCAATATGAGAAACGAACCAGTGTAATGAAGCCAAATCTATTAGAAAGATTTTTCATAATAGAGAGAAAAAAATAATTACATAAAATATGTTTATGGATAAACAGATTTCCCGACTCTAGTCTAGTATCTTAATTAGAACCAGAATCAATGCCTTGAAATTATAATTGAAATTTGAAAAAAAAATTAGTTCACAAGTTTAAAAACAGAACACATGCATTCAATAAAAGTAGTTTTTGATATTCTACAATGTAATTGTAAAATATTCATGAAACATAATTAACAAATAATTATAAGTTTGGAATAGTTTCAACCAAGAAAAAAAGGTTAGAACTAGATTAATTTCAGGTATTTCAATCAACAATAATCAGTAAAAAGATTGACTCAAAATTTGATACAAATATGAACGAAAAAATTGTTGAACCCAACATGGTCAAAGTATATGTTGAATTGAATTTTACCTCAAGAGAAAGAATGCTCTAGTCTTTTTGTGATGAAACCACTAAAGTAGGAGGACGACTGTATTTATAGCCGCTACTATATTATATACGGTAATTTTTTTAATTTCCTTATATATATATATATATGAAAATTGTATTAATGCTTTCTAAAATTGTAGTAGTTTGTGTATATTTGTATATATGGAAAGATCAATTAAAATCATTAAGAAATCAAGAGGATTAGAAATTAAAAGAAAAATTTATGATGTTAAATGAGTTAATTTGGGAGACGATTCGGGAATTCAAGATCAGTTTATAGAAAATATTTAGGTAGTGAAAGATTTTGACTTAATTGTGTCCCTAGTATTACCACTCCTTGCTTTATTAGAATTTAGTTTCCTAATGTATCTCTTGAATCCCTATTAAACTATGATAATTGTACATTGCATCTCAAAATTCATTGTTTCTAACATTCGCTAGGGCATGAACTTAATTAATATGGCAAAAACAGAGTTTTAGATGCTTAGATCGCAGTGTGAATAAATAATGTGTGTGAATGTACTTCTTGTCGAGATTTTTTAAAACATAATAAATAAATTACACGTAGTGAAAAAAAATTAGATATAGTGATATTTAAAATTTGAATAAAGTTTCGTTAGAGGCCCTCTATGTTTGATTTTTACTTTTTGCAAGATAGTATGTTTTGGGAAAAAAAGAAAAGAAAAAGAAGTTACTAAAAAAATATATAACAATCATATTTGTGGATAGAGTTTCGTTTGATTTTTAGTATAACAATCATAATATGTTTTGGATACGAGTAAAGTTGAAAGAAAGAAGTAACCAAAAAAACATATATAGTCATCATATCATACATATGTGGATAGAGTTTCCTCGGAGGCTCTTCTATGTTTGATTTTTACTTTCCAAGTATGTTTTGGATATGATTAAAGTCTAAAAAACGAAAGTTACTAAAAAAAAAACAAAAAAAAAAAAAAACATAGCAATTATGTACACGTGTGAATAAATTTTTGGAAGGTTCATTTTTTTTCAATTGAATTTCATTTACCTTTATTTTATTTTATTTTATTTTTTTATTTTTTAAATGAAATAAAAAGGTTCTTAAATTTATTAATATACCATCTCTTAATTTATAATGTTATAATTACCCTTTATGCAATTTTAACTTTTTTTTTTTTTTTTTTTTTTTTTTCGGGAGGTCCTCACATAGAAAATAATTTATTTCATACTAATAATTTTATTTTTGGCAGTCAAAAGAGATAATTTATTCCATAATAATATATATATATTTTTGGTACAATCGAAATGGATATTTATTCAAGAAAGTTAACTTTTTTTTTTGATAATTTTTTAATGAGTCATGGCAAAAGAAATAATTTATTAGATAAAATCCATATGGATATTTATTGAATGTTTATATTGGTGTCGACATACTAATTAAATTGTTGTTTATTAATTTGCACGCGGTATGATAAATTAAATTTAATTGAGATAAGGCATAATGACTATTATGATTAATTTATTTTGTACTTAAGTTTTACATTGTAAATTAAGTACCAAAAAAACAAAAAAAATGGGGCATATAATTTATATCGAATAAAACTACTCTTTCGTATTGGAAAAAAAAAAAAAAATTCAATTAATTAAGTTCTACATTGTAAGCAGCATGTCTATATTGGGCTTGTTTTGACATCTTGATCCATTGTAAACTGGACTTCGGTTTGTGGACCTGACTGGGTTGTTATAAACCCAACCCATTGTGTTCGTTATGGACCATTCGAGGCTCATTTTTCCTTCCTTTTGTCCAATAAACGAATCGAGCTTTTAATATAACATTATGTTTCAACTCAATTTGAGCACATTTCATAAAGATATCAATTGGACATTTTAAATTAGCTTATTTCCTAAGCTTACTTTTCAATCTGATTAGTATAATATCCTTCCATGAAACTTAGATTAAATATATAATAAAGTTTCAAAAGATAAAATCAAATAAAAAATCATAAGCATAACCCAATAATGTTCGAGATTAACTAGTTTAAAAATTAGGCTTAATTCGACTCGTTTGTTTAATGAATGAGTCTGAACCCTGCTTCAAATGAGCCAATTAATTTAGTTGATTTAGACTATATGATATGCACTCCTTGTATGCAATGGCATGAAAGGAAATATAGGAAAAACAATGAGAACGAAGTATCATAGTCAGGTGATTGTGGTGATGATCTTGTCCGTGTTATAATAGTGACACTGTTATAATTTGTATTCCAAAAAGTAGATGTGGCAAGATGTCTAATGCTCAATATTCTTTTATATTCAAATGGACTCGATATATATATATATATATATATATATATATATATATATATATATTTTACCTTTTACTTCTACAATATATACCGTATTACAATTTTGAATGCATATGTTTATAAAATGTTAATCTTTCTATCCCTTTTGGAGATTCTTAGTCTGACTTGTCCTTATTGTGTTAACCGGAGAAATATTATATAGTTCGGAACATCTTAGTCTTGGCTATCACAACATAACAAAGCATACAAAAATTTAAACAAAATAGACACATTTTTTCCGAATTGCATGGCATATTAAATACGAGGGCATTACATAATCAACCTCCTGAGGTTGGTCATCGTTTCACAGAGTATTGACAAATTGACTCTAAATTTTAAGTTCCTACATGTTATTCAATCCAGTGATGATACAGCTAGTGAGAGAGAAAATTTAAAGGTGCAATCCAATGACAAAGGGTCGATTCTTCCGGCCAGAATCTTACAGTTGGTGAAGCAAAAGTTTGAGAAAAATTTTCGTCCTGTCCAAACACCCTAGAAGATAGGGAACTCCTAAGATCCACACATTTTGTTGTAGGTACGACATATATTGACAAGAGACTTGCAGGCTCTTACCCTTCAAAACAATGTCCTCTTATGCCTTTCATATATGCCAATTCCCATTCCCATGTGCTCATGGACCACATTAATTCTCATTATTTAATCTATATTATTAGCCACTTGATCCATATTTCACCTTTTGAATTTGCACTAATAATATAGTATAATGATTTTATTACTTCTTAGGCTTTTATAGATACATAATTCATTTGCTTTTAGGTTCCAAGTTGGGGCAATTTTGTAGTCATTTTGACTTCGCAGAGTCCCACCACTTGCTTTATCAGACTTGACTGTTTTCTTCATGCATTATTGTCTTGTATCTTCAATCCTCTTAATCACATTGATGGTTACGCTTGCTAGTATTGCAAGATTTTGCAATAATCCAATCTTTATCTTCACCCGAAAAAAGAAAAAGAATATAAAAACAGAAACTTAAAATAACCAGAGATGGCACTGTTTATATACGCTTCATCATCACTGCGACAATTGGTATGATTTTCTGCTGCAGCTTGAGAGGCTATTGTTTATACTAGTCATTAGCTGATTTTGTATGAAATGTAACTATAAAAAATGGATCAAGCAATGAATGGAATGAATTTATTTGTCATCAACTTAATTAATCATATCTATAGCATGGGTTCTCAGTTAGATGGAAATCTTTGGTAGAATATGCTTTCTGTTATACCCATTTTCATACAAAAAGAGTCGTCTTGTTGTTTTGTGAAGAAAGACTGTACACTCACATGCATGACAGTCCATAATCTGGCTGTTTCCCATGCAATCATCAAGCATGTGAACTCTTTGCATGACCACATCCTTAAGAGGCCATACCATTGGTACACAACAAAATTATATATATATATATATAAATGGCACAATACAATATACAGCAACCCTGAAATACAAAGTCACAAAAACACACACACACACCTAGTGAAAATGTTTCTCCCAATTCTCTTCATCTTTTCACTCCTAATTTGCTCCTCCCCTCACACTGCAGCACTAGACTTCTGCATTGCAGACATGTCATTTCCTACCGGACCAGCAGGCTTCCCCTGCAAGAAGCCTGCAAAAGTCACCCCGGACGATTTTGCATTTTCTGGGCTAGGCAAGGCAGGTAACACCACCAATATTATCAAAGCTGCAGTGACCCCCGCATTTGTTGCCCAATTCCCCGGTTTGAATGGACTAGGTCTTTCCATCGCCCGGCTAGACCTAGCCCCCGGGGGAGTGATACCAATCCACACACACCCTAGTGGAAATGAACTCTTGTTGGTTCTTCAAGGGACAATTTGTGCTGGTTTGATATCTTCTTCAGACAACAAAGTGTACTTGAAAACTCTCAATAAGGGAGACATTATGGTGTTCCCTAAAGGGTTGTTACACTTCCAAATAAATTCAGGAGGAACATCAGCTCTTGGATACGTTAGCTTCAGTGATCCAAGCCCCGGTCTCCAAATCCTCGATTTTGCTTTGTTTGCTAACGATTTGCCTTCTGAAATTGTTGAGACGGTCACTTTCCTTGATGATGCTCAAGTCAAGAAGCTCAAGGGTGTTCTTGGCGGCACCGGCTAAAGCTAGCTCTCTGAAGACTAACTGATGTCTCCATTGCTTTTCTTCCAATTCAATTTCGTGTTTTCGAGTTTCTTACTTTGTTGTGCTAATTAAGGTCTGTGAGTGTAGGGATTCTACTAGTTGTGTCTTTGATTTGCTTAATTTTCGTTGTCGAATTGTATGCTTGATGAGTGTAACTGCATGCCAAGTTTGCAACAAGCAACATTTTCTGAAGGCCAACGCTTTCTATTTGAATAAATTCACTAAGTTAGATTTGGTGTATGTTTCTTTAATAATTGATTATTGAATTGGGAAAGGTCATCTTAAAACTACAAAACCTAGAAAGCTCAAAAGCACAGAATTTTTACAATTTAGGCAGAAACTGTGAGAGCTAAGTTAGTTAGCTTGCTTGCATATTCGAAATGTATATCAGTGGACTATCACCTAAGAAAGGAAAACAATTATTGTCACCCCAAAAACAGTAAAGATTAATGGTCATAACCTTATCAACTTCTATGTGTGGTCTGGACTCTCGTCCAAAATTTCACAAACCCAACATGGTATGGTCCCATCTTAACAGTCACTTTTCGAATACACCTAGCATGTGGATAGCCCGCATAAAATTTTAAATCCCAAAATTTTAAAGAAAAAATTAAAATATTTTATCGTTGTTGAAGTGGTCTTATGAATTAACCTGACCCAAATCAGTAGATTATCTATGAAATGATATATAATTGTGTGAGACTGATTGGAATTAAAATGTTCCAATGAATTGCAATATCTTGGTTGAAGAAATTGTTTACATGGTGGTCGGTGATTTGATATTGAGCGTAATTGACGAAGTGAAGAATTCCATTTTGTATAGTCAATGAGATGTAAAGAAAAAAAAGAAAAAAACAGAAAATATTGAGATGTAGTAATTGATTTGCCAGTACCACCATCACTGCCACCAATCATTGACAATCAAGAAGAGTGTGGCGGAGAAGAGAGGGAAGGAAAAAGTGGAAATCAATGACCACACATTTACGACCACTTGATGGTCTAGCAGAATTCCTACTAAAAACTGAATTAGAAAACTTTTAGTACTTTTCCAAGTTTTGTTCTATTGTATTGGAGAACTTGGCAACCACCTCAGGGATAACGAGGGCAAATTAAAGAGCAACAAGTGACTTTGATACCGCGCAATACTATTGAAATCATGACACGTGTGATTTCCAAAATTTGAAGGTAGGGTGCCAAGTTAATAGAAGAGGTTGCTACAATTAAATAAGTTAAAGTTGACTAATCAAATGAGAAGTGATGTGTCAGCAAAGAAGATATAGTAAGCCCGAGATAAGAGGAAGTAAAAGATAAAAAAAATGATGTATTAGTATATTTTACTGGAAATTGTTAACTCCATCCAAATTCAAAGGGAAAAAATCAAGGTAGGAGATATTAGTCTAACAAAAAATTTAAAAAATAAGTTGAAATAAAATTATATAAATAGGAAAGTCTGTAATCTTTTCAAACCAGCTCCACCACAAAGCAAGCACATCAAATTCTACGTCATCTTTCCTACCTCAATTTATTGTCCAATCACAATTTTCATTCAAGGAATTTGAGTTCCAGCATTAACATTCTTTTCTAGCAATGTTTGATTGTGTTATTTCCATCTAAAGTGCTTCTTGTCATTATGACCATCTCTACTTAGATTCCAGTTATTTTAGTTTTGCAAGTTAATTTCATTGCACACTTTATTTTCCATGCAATTTTAAATTCTTTCTTTTGATTTAAATTATTTTCATTTAATCATTACAATTATTTTCAAAACCCTTTAAAAGTCCTTGTATCCAATTTCTTGCACAATGGTCTGACCATCAATTAAAAAGGGATAATTGGTGTTCACAATTTTGAGTTATATATATTCTAGCATGCCCACAAACTCCATCAGTTTCCCAATTTTTTGTTAAATGAGATCCAATTGTAATGAATCGAATTTGGTCCGAGTTTGGTCATCTTCTAAGCCGTATGGTCATTTTTACAATGGTGATATACCTGTATTGATATTGATATTCTTGCGGATAAGTATTTAAATACTTTTTAAATATATACATAATTTTAATATATATATTTTTATTATTAACACGTATGTGATATTTTCTCAAATACTTCGACCACCTAACATACTTTAGAATAAAATTTTAACACATTTTGAACATTAAAATATAACTTTTTTCAATAATTAAGAGAAGTTCAATTTTTTTTTTTTTAATATATATATCTAATATGATTTCGTACAAAATTTAAAACATATTAATGATTGCATTTATAATCTTATAAAAAAAATTGACCAAAATTAATTTTTGTATATATAAAGATATAATAATAATAATTATTATTATTTTTTATTGTCGTATCCTATATTCCTATTGTACCTCTATATTTCTTTCTTTCTTTTTTTTTTTTAAAAAAATATACAATATCACTGTATGTACCGATATCTCGTATCCCATATCCGTGTTTCTAAGCTTCTTTTCCTTCTTTTTTTTTCATAATTTTGCTATCTTCAGTGATTGGACGGACGACCAAGTGAACCTGAATGTTCACTGTTGATAATGCAAGATATGAAAAAACATCTTTATAGAATGATTTTGGATTCATTGATGTTCAGAAGTAACAATCTCCGATTCCCCTCCGGAAACAAGTTACACCTCAGTACTCTTGTAATGTTTCCAATTTTTTCTATTATTATTATTTTTTTTTTTCATTTTTTTGGAACTTTTGTCGCTACAAAGGCATTTTCGTCTTTTGCCTTTTTGCGAGCCAGACACTGTGGAGTGTGCCGGTTATGTCCTCGAGTTGTCTGGGCCATTTCATTGAGTTCAGGACTCTTTGAAATGTAAGGGTGATCATTTTCGCATTTTTCTGTTTTTCAGGTCGGACGGTCCCGTGTGGGACCCGTTACTGGACTTGTCGTGTACGGAGATTGTAATTGAGTCCATTAGCATTTCATGCATTTTATTTGATGCATTTTAATGTGGGTTTTATTTGGTTGGGTGTATATATAGAAATTGGTAGGAGTTTATAAAGAAAAGAAAAAGGAAAAAAAAAAAAAAGAAAATAAAATTTTGTTGGGACCCACAAGCACTTAAAGTGGTCATGAGACCACTTTGAGTTCTCATTTTTCTCTCATTTCCCGTAAGCCCCTCTCTCCCTCTCTCCCTCTCTCGTTCCAGACTCTTCTTTTTCTTGGTTTCAATCTTCACCTCTTGATTTCTCCTTCAATATTTAGTATTTTTAAGAGTCGTTTGCGACTATTCGAAGCCCACGACAAGACCTACAAGTTGATGGGAGCAATTCCTTGGTTGGTGCACTATAGGAAATTCGAAAATCCTAGGGTTTGAGGTGAAAATTGGGGGTTTTGCATAAAATTGAGGTAGGGGTCTCTAATTTGCATTTTCTTGTTCCTTTGTAAGTCAATTCTTATTATTTGATGCCAACATGCTTAATTGAAATTAATTACCTCTAGAATGATTTTCTTGTGAGTGTAAAGTTCATGATTATGTGTGTAATTGTTGATTTGTATAAAAAATATGCTTCATTATTAATTTTTTTATGTTATTTTGTTGACAAAATTACTAAAAATGATACATAGAAGCTTATGGAAATTTTTTCTAGAATTATTGTATTTTCTTTATATTATTGTGCTGACAAAATTGCTAGAAATGATACATGGAAGCTCATGAAAATTTTCTTAGAATTATTATAAAGCTTGCTTGATTATGGAAGTATTATGGAAATTTCTTATTGCCCTAGCATTGAATACATGAGACATACATGCATATCAAGGGGCATGAATGATGGGAAATGATATTGAACAAATGAAAAAGGGGAGTTTTGGGGAGAATTTGATGAAACGGTTTTTGAGAAAACCCGGTCACCGTGGAGTCACCAAAGGGCCGGTGTGTTAATGTAACCTTGAGAGAATTAGGGAGATTGCCGTAGCGTAATTGAGCTATCTGAGCCCCAAATAACGCCGTGTAGGTACCAAGGGTCAGGGACAGTAGTCAGCCCTTCTCTCGTGTCGCTGCGGAGTCATCAAATGACGGGTTATATTAACAGTTTGTGAAGTGATGGATGTTTTTTTGTAAATGGGGAGTGACATGCATAATATTGCATTCATGGCACGACATTTATTTGTTTAGAACTTGCAGGTTTACATTGTATTTTTCCCGGTTTAGCATGACCCCTCTCCCTAGTGTCCTATTCATTATTTGGGTTCACGAGGTCACAAGAGGTGCGTCTTAGGCACCACCTACTGAGCTTTTTGCTCACCCTATTAATTAACAATTTCAGGGCTAGGAAAAGATGTAGTGGATGCCGATCCTTCTCAAGCATGAAGAGGATAAGAGATCTATTTTGATACCTTTTATGTACTAGTTAATCTTTGGTGAAGTCTCAAACTATGAAAAAGAGTATCCATTTTTGCAAATCATGGCTATGTAACATAACTAAGATACTTGATTATTATATATATATTTTTTTATGTAAATTGAGTCTATGTAAATGTTTAAGTTGAATGGGATGACGATAATGGGCCTAACTTAAGGAGGTTGTTGACGTTGTAGTATTGGGGAATGTATGATATATATATTTTTGTATTGTGTGTTGTGACAGGTTGGATAAGTCTTGAAAGACCAAGAAAGGCCATTACATTTTTTTTAAGTAGGTTGTTGTAGGCCCCTTCTTAGCAGAGGTCATGCCGATTTTTATTTTTTTATAATTGGTATTTAGTTTTGGGTCGTTACAAATTTGGTATCAGAGCGATGGTTTGAAACCCATTAGGACGACGGGTAGGCCTACATAGGAATGAGAAGTTGTTTGTGTCGATTATGTGGTTGTTTGCTATGTGTTCTATTATTTGAAAGAGCATGCTTAACTGTTTACTTGCTTACGTGTTTATGTGCTTATATGCTTATGCTAATGTGCTTATTGCATAGTCTTGCATGCTAAGTGTTTGTGCAGTATCCTTTTGTGTTAAGTTGTTCACGGTTGGACCTTAGTGTTATCGTTATTGAACCATTTTCTTGTTTTATAGCATGATGTCACGGCGTGAGGAACCAAGGGAAGTTGGCCCTAGGCCAACAAGGGGTGATGTTGGCGAGAATTCTAGCTCCAATCCGGCGGAGCAAAACGAAAAAGATACATTTATTAGGGATTTGATTATCCCAAGAGGTCTATATCCTCGTAAACTATCCGGGTCAGAATGTATCGGAAGAAGAAAGAGATGTCAAAAATTGACTCATGCGCCATTGTAAGGTGTGAGTATCTCGATAGAGGTCTGTCTAAGGCCAGGCCTGGCTGTGCATGGGGAGGATATGAAGAATGCGATGGTGTATGCTCAGCCTCATCATGAGATGATGAAGATGCGGAGGCTGAAGACTGTAGTCTAGAGTCAGCTGAGGGTGACTGAGCTGGATCTGCCTCAATATAAACCTCTAACTGCTCCTGTTGCTTAGCTTCAACAGGCTGCTTTGAATCCTGGACACGAGATGGTCCTGCCTGATGCTCGGGCTGCTCCTGAATATGGGAGGGCTCGCCTAGCTCCTCTATCCTGGGCCCGACTCGACGTGGATGATGCTTACGGGCAACAGTTGTAATACCCCGTAATTAATTAAAGAGTTTAGTTTATTTAAATTCAATTATGTGTGGATTCCTTTACCTATTATTGTGCATGCTACATTGTTATATTAAGTTCATTTAATGGTGCATGTAAATTAATTGTGTATGTTAAAATAGTAAATTTATTCATTTAATTGTGCATGTATTATTATAATTAATTTTATTTGTTAATTATGTTTAATTAAGCAATATTAGTTAATTAGAGTATTATATTTGTGTTATAAAGTATTATGATGATATAATATATTATTTTGTAATAACAATAATAATAATTATATTAGTTTAATAATAATAATAATAATAATATAATAATAATAATAATAATAATAATAAAAGTTTATTAAAAATAATATTAGTAATAATAATAATAATAGTTATAATAATAATAATAGTATTAAACCAATGTCATGATGAAATTAGAGATTAGGATAGGATTGCATCAATGGTTATGGGTGGAATTGAAGCCTTATGGTTGGGAAGGTGGTTAGTAGATGAAAAATTAGATATTTGTAATATTTATATTATATATTTTGTATATAAATTAACTAGCTTACCTTAGAAGAAAAGAAAGGGAGTTAGAAGCAAAGTATAAATTCTTGTGAGCTATTTTATAAGAGTGAAAGGAAAAAGAGAGAGAGAAAGAAGCTTGGACCTGTGTAGGCGATTTTACCCGATTACGCGCAGACCGGCGGATTTATTTTAAATCCAAAAAGGCAAGTTATTATCTACTTTTCCCCTTTGAATCCATAAATTAATTGTTTAGATTATTTAAATAATTATAGAGCTTAGAGATCATGCTAGGAAATTATTAAATTAAATTTTTTTTATTTATTAAAGAAAGGAATTTTAATTATTAAAGGTGGTCAACAATTATTTTATGGCCTATGTAATCAAAATATAGCTAAAAATAATTATTATGGCCTTTGGGATTTTTTATAGAATTTTTAGGAATTTTCCGGGGCTTTTCTGCAATTTCCGGCAAGCCTCCGGCAAGGATTCCGGCCACCGGCAGTGAAGAAGGTGACCGGAGTGATCCGGTGTGATGCGGCGCATGGTAGGTTAGTGCGCGCGCGCATCCTGGCCATTAGTAGAGTCTGATTGATCCGGTGCATCGCGGTCCATGTTACCGCGGTACACCCGGATCCATAAGCACAGGATTGAGTGATGAGAGGGTGAGCTGATTCAGTGTAGCGCACCCATAGTAGGATGATGCAACCGACCAACCAGCACACGCCGCGTCAGCAAGGTACCCTTAGTGCGCGCGTGGCAGCGCGTGCGCGCGAGTGGAACGCTCTAGACGCGCGTGGGAGCGCGTGCGGGCGCGTGGCTGATGCCAGACGCGCGTGGAGGCGCGTGGGAGAGTGGGGAAGGTTGGGCTGCGCGTGGGGAGGCTCTGGGAGGCGCGTGAGGGCGCGTGTGGGGTCTCTACAGCTGCTGGAAATTACCAGAATACCCCTAGGGCCTGTTTTGTAAATTCCAGAACCTTAAACTTGGATTTTTAGGTACTGTGTTGGTATTTACGGGTTTAACGGGCCACGAAATTATTATTTTAACACCCGTTACTTATTCTTATGACCGATTAATCTTTTCTAAGCATTTATTGGCTCGTTCACAGTACAGATACTAATGTGATTTATTTAACGACATTGTTAAATATAAATAGTGTTATTATCGTATTAAATGGTATCAAACATTACTGTTAAATTAAATAAGGCCATGGTTTTAGTCAGATAAATTATCCATGATATCTTATGGGATGTTTATACTGTTAATTGATATTTAAACCATGATTATTATGCTGTATGCATTTCAGGAAATAAATGGACTGTTTAATTATGTCGCATTTATATTATATGGATGTGCTGCCATATAGAACCATATGAGCTGGCTAATAAGTTTAGACTCATTTATACCTTATGCATTCGTTGCGATAGACAGATGTGTGGCTGTCGGGGTATGTGGTTTAATATTATTGGCATGTGTTGCCTAATTGACATTCTCGGTATATTTATTAATATTGTTGGCATGTGTTGCCTAATTGATATGCTCAGTATATTCATCAGTACTTTGAGAGGTGTTATCACTGTGTAGTTCGTTATAGTCTGTGTTGTCAGTACCGTGCACCATGTATAATAGCTGATTTCCCGGGTAGGGAAAGGCGACACTTGACCACCTAGTGTGAGTCTAAGTGATCACCGTCTATTCTGGTTGAGGTCATGTTATACATCGGATAGTTCCCGTAGGATGTATACAGATATAGTACTCATCCGATTCATAATGATTAATTTATTTGATTCTCTGATTTGGGTCATAGTAGAGAGGACTTGCTCGTGGGGTTGACCCACCATTGTTGTTATTTCAGGATACGGTCAGTATCCGTTTCAAGGTTGAGGTTAGCAGTGTGGGACTACCATCCGAACTCATCTACTCTTACGATCCAGTCCAGGGTAGAAGTTTTACGTATTACTTCAGTTTCAGTTTTTATTTACTTTTGACGTCGAACTCTCAGGTTTATATTTAGGGATCCTTGACATAGGATTTCCAAGTTGTAATGGAGGACTGTATTTAAATAAAGGATGGATGGATGTTGTATTATTTAATGTTTCTTTCCTGTCTAAATTCTTTTATTTCCATCATTTTGTATTCCATGCTTGTATATTGCCAATTGTTTTTGATATCCCTCGTTTTTCGTGTATAAGCCTGATCAACTTATGCGTGGAAAATGTGGGGGTGTTACAACAGTCTTTACCCTAG